GAAATGTCTAAGAGGAAACACGAAGGGTGAGGGGTTCGATCTAAAGCCGCCCAGCACGGTTATAGCTGAAGGCAGGTAGGGGCGATCCCGCATCACCTGGCGAGGGATCCTGAGAGATGTGGGCGGTGGGGGGCTCCGGCTAGCACTGGTTTCCCAGCGGAAGGCTCAGGAGTCCAAGTCTGGTCAAGCAAAAATCTGGCGCCGCTCCCCTCGTAAGTACGTACACACTCCGCCCCTGCAGCATTTAGGCTGCGGAGGAGCCGGCAGTGCCAGGGGAAGGGAGCCAGTGCAGGAGAAATTTGATTCAGGCCCTGAAGGACTCTTCCAGAACATCCAGTCCGATGGTCTCATGGACGGATGAAGAAAATGAGTCACGGTGCCGGCGCCGGGCCAAGGTCGAAGCCATCTGCGTCTCCCCACTCCCAGGCTCGCCAGGGTCGTTCTGCTAGATAGCCACGGGCAGCACAGCCAAAGAGGGAGCCCCAGTTCTGCCCCCTGCCCCCTCTTTGGCTCCTTTCAGTGGCGATGGGGGTGGGGTGACCTCCAGGCCAGCTCTAGAGGGAGACAACCGAGATGGGCTTTTGGACACGAACTAGAGAGAAAATGTCTAGATGCTTCCAGAAAGGCCTGGTGTCCCCCACCCCTCTGAGCTCTAATGAGTGCTGCCCACATTTCCAGGTCCCCGCACACCGGGGTTGCTGGCGCGACCCGTCAGCGGTCGGTCTCTCAGGGAGCCCCAGCAGCTGCCAGAAGACTCTAGCGCTTTCCCTGAGGGCGGGCCAGCCGGGGCGGGGCTAAGCGCCGTGGGCGGGGCGGGGCCCCAGGGGCAGCGCCGAGTGGGCGTGGCCCAGATTGCCGTCCAGGCCAGAAAAACCACCCCTGGGAGCTCAGTGCCTTGTTGTGGAGCCAGCCACAGATTGTCAAAGAACAGTGGGGCAGGGGGGCACGGGCTCCACCCCTACCTCTGCTTGCCAAGTCTGGCTGTTGGCTGAGGAGTGAAGGGCCCTTGGTCAGGGTCGCAAAGGAACCCAGAGGTCCCTGGCCCAACCCTCCCTTCCTGTCCCCTGCCCCTGTGCCCACCGGTGTACCTGCACTGCGTGGCAAGTCTCTCCCAGGACAAAAAAGCAGGAGGCCTGAGCTCCAGTCCCTCCACTCCTCACCAGCTTCATGACCTTGGGGCAATTCTGACTCAGTTTTCTCCTCTGAAAAATGGGACTTTGACAAGCTACTGTGATATTCCATTAAGCACATACAACTGGGTAACTCTCATTATTCTAAATCTCAATATCTAAAATGGAAGGCCCTTAGATCACGGTGAGGGTGTAGGAATGCCAGGCACTGGACACACCTTATCATGTTTGGGACTCGTTGGAGCCTTGTTAAGATGGGCAGGTGCCTCATTGTTGTTGGGGTCTCTCTACTATTCCAGGGAGGCCTTGAACTCACCATGTAGCCCAGGCTGGCTTCAACTTGAAGTGATCCTGGAATTGAACTCAGGACCTTGCCCTTGCCAGACAGGCGCAGCGCCACTGAGCTACATTCCTGGCCCCCCAGTACTGGAATCAAACAAAACAAAAT